TGAGTTGGCATGGGGCGGACAGATACAGCTGCGTATCGTCCGCATATTGATGGTATCTTATTTATTAGCTTTTTAGCCTGCTTTTATTACTATTATAGGGGCCATGCCTATAAACCTAATAACTGTTCTTATTTTCCCACCACAACAACCCTATGAGGTGGGCTGAGCTAAGAGAGAGGGGGGAGTGCAAGAGCATCAGGCCTAAGCTTCGTCTGCAGATTGACGGGGGTCTCTGTCTTTTAACCCTTTTCTTCCTTTCGACCCCAAATGGCTAGGAGGCTCTTCTTTAAGGGCTCCTACAAGCGATTCCTTTTAATGCAGCTCCATATCATTGAACCACATTTGTCCCATCAGGTCAGCCCATCCCAGGTGGGTCAGGCAGGGAAGGCATGTTGCAGACCCCATCAGTCAACTCCGACTGGGGGAGCCTTCTCTGCCATTAGCCCTGCCTTATGAAATATTACCCCCCCCCCTGCCTTCTTGTCTTCCACAAAAGAGTTGAGCCGTGGCTCCGTGGCCTCCTGTGCGGATCTCAGGGGAGCAGGCAGCTGTGGGGCCCTGAGACGCCTCCCTTCGCCTTTTAACACTTCAAGCATCCTGGCCTCCTTCTAAATTCTGAAGTGTTAATCTCATACTATTTTTATATTTTAATGTTTTATTGTACACCCCCTGCCCCAAAACACCCTCTCTGAAGGAGACAGAGGATTCAAAAATGTGAAAAATAAATAAAAACAAATAAATATTAACCCGACTCCATCCTTGGGCTAATCTTCCACCTTCCCATTAGATTTCTGGAGTGGAAAAATGCCTCTTCCCTCCCTCCCTCCCTCCCCCTTTGGTGGTCCCATGTTGCTCTGTTGCCTGGGCTTTTCGGCGCCTTTGGGTTCTGGGCCAGAGTTGGAGCAAGAAGGCCCTTTGACTTCCCAATGGGCCCCTTTCAAAGTCCTTTAATCTCTTCCAGGTCCAGGAAATGGCTTCCATTAATTCTGCTGCCTGGTCTGTTCTCCCTTAATGGGAACAGGAACTTGAGGAGGCTTTGAAATGGAAGGGAGATTTTCAGAGGGGCAGGATACAGTCTGTAAGCTGTCTGGGGAGGGTCAGGGGAACATTTGGGGCTGGGGGCAGGCATAAGGGAGCCTCTTGCGAATGGAAATTAAGTAGTAGGAATCCAACACACACACACTCACACGCACACTGTCCCAATTCCCAAGGAAGGGGAGGCTAATCCTCACCCTTTGCAGTATAAAGTGGGAGCAGCCAAGATATGGCTGCCGGTGAGGGTGGGGGTGGAGGGGCTGTTATTCCTTGCATCCCTGGAGAAAAAACACCGTAGGGCAGACCAGAGGTTCTCAACCTGTGGGATCTGCAATGCCGTCACATGGGGGGGGGGGGTGTTTCCGGCGAAGGCTTGAAGAAATGTTATGATTGAAATCTTGAGTGAAGCCTTGGGGGTCCCGTGCCCACAAAAGATACTTCAAGGCGGTCTGCAGTGGAAGCGAAGGGAGGCTACTCAGTGGCTATAAACTCCTGGGTGAATGAATGTCAGTGGAAAGGGCTGTGACCAAGGTCTCCTGCTTTGGGCTTTGGTAGCAGGACAGACCGGACAGCGGCATGGCTGGGGGGATTCCAGGGCTCCTCAACCATGCAGAGTGACACTGACCAAAGGGACCGGATGGGCATTTCTCCTACAGCTCTCACGGGGGATGGGGTCAAAATCCAGGCGCCTGGCAGCTTCTTCTTCTTTTTTTTTTTTTACACAAATATATATGGTTTTATTCTCATAGAAAATACATCTTCAGTACATATGCAAATACTAGGCCTGGCAGCTTCTGATAAGCAAGATCAATGGAGGAAGCAGGATTCACTTCATGAACGTGTGATTCACTTAACAACTGTAGTGATTTGCTTAACAGCTGGGGCAAAACAGTCATAAAATGGGGCAAAACTCACTTAACAACTGACTTGCTTGGCAACAGAAATGTTGGGCTCCAACACTGAGGTCATGTTGAGGACTTTCTCTATATATTTAATTAGCCGGTGTGCCTTAGTTTCTCGAACAAAAAGAATGCTTGAAGCCGTTGGGTTTCCCGCCCCTCGCTTGCAAGAGCCAAAAACGGGAGAGAAAGGAGAATTCAGGATTTCAGAGACTTTGCTGCTTTAAGTGGGTCTCACAACCCACCCCCCCACCCCCCACCCCCGGTCTGATGAAAGAGGCTATAAAAGCTGGTGCAGTGGGAGTCCTTTGGAGTGGGACAACCGCAATCAATCAAATAAAATGACAGATGGGATCACTTTTCAAGGGCCCCAGCGAAGCCTTTGTTGTTCCGCACAGAAAAGATTTAATGCCGCTCCCCCTCGGAATCCGGAAGTCAAGAATTTAGGCTTCAGAAATTATCGCCACTGAGCACTGAGTGACTTCCGACTGCAAGTGTCTGATCTGAAACTTGGAGCACTTGGGAATCGGGCTCTGGCGGCTGCACATGTGCGGGCGAAAGGCTGCTCGGCTGAGGTTTGCCTCTCTCACTCGTCACGGACAATAAAAGGGGAGGCAGAGCCACCCACCCACCCAGGTCCTCCAGTTCTCAGAATCCACTTAGGGCAGATTTCTTCCGGTGAAATATGAAACTTGCTACAACTTTGGGCTGATTGCGTAACCCACCTGGTCGCACCTGCTGGAGTCTTTCATGAGGAGTGAAGGCATGCTGGCCAAGGGAACGTCGTGTGTGACTCAGGGCAGCTCCTGATAGGGCTGCTGGGGGATCCAGCGTGGGGAGCAGTGCTGGGGATGGAAGTGATTCAGAAGGCAGTTTCAAGACAGATGGTTCCCAAGGCTGGGACTGATGTCACGCTCCATTAGCCTCTTCCTGCAAATAGATGTGGTTTGATGGCAGTGCATTCCTTCCCAGCCCACCGACCTGAGAAAAACATGGCCAAGTTCCTTCCGGGACTCAGCAGCTGCTCCTGCTCCTGGGATGCCGAGGTTGAGCCTCACAGCAGCATCTCATGGCCGGATCTCCAGGCAGACAAGAGAAAAAGGGAGCTTTGGATGGTGGGGCCTGCTGGGCCTCTCCCTTCTTCCTCTGGACTCTTAATTCTCACGATGCCTTCCGAGAGGTGGAATATAAGGTCGTTTTCCATGTACAGGTAGTCCTCGCCTAACAACTACAACTTGGACCAGAATTTCCATTGTTGTGTTAATTGGTTGTTAAGCGAGATGCCACATGACTGCCCACATGGCTGCTTCACTCAAAGGCTGCAATCCTGGCTTGTGGTCGTTAAGGATGATATGTGTCGTTCAGGAGTCCACGGGGAGGGTGCGTGATGCCCTGGAAGCTGAAAATCCTGCCTGCTGAAATCCAAGTGGGACCTTCAGCCCCGGAGGGAAAGAGGCCCATCTGTGGCCACAGCCATCTCCCCAAGGCCCCTGAGACGCCCATGCGGGGCTCCCTTCCTTACCGTGCAGGAGAGAAGCCAAAAATCCTCCCGTCAAAATCCATGAAGGCTTTTCAGCCCCATAGTGAAGAGAGGTCATGGCTGGCCTGAGGCTCCTTCCCTCCTGCCAGAGCCTCCACTGGGGAGCTCGGGCTCTGCTTGTTCCTCTGAAAGCGCTCCCTCCAAAGGACGTCAGCTGCCCTCCTTCCGTGGGACGCAGGGACGGGATTCAGGCTCTGCTCCCTCGGCAGGCGACTTTTTCAGCCCGTTGCCAGAGGCGAGAGGAGTCCACTCGGCAGGCAACAACCACCTGCAATTCCCCACTGGCTTCCCCATGATTGTCAGGAGCCTGGCAACTGGCTGTAAGTGTGAGCAGGTTGCCAAGTGCCCAAAATGCAGCCTTGTGATGATGATGATTGGATTCCTGGCTTACATTTAAGTCTTCATTTTGTATTATGCTGACACTGACCATATGAATACATTATAAGCAGCAGACTCTTTATTCTTAGCCATAGAAATTGGAGTGAGAATAGCAGCAGCAGCAGTAACAACAACACCGGTGTTTTAAGACTTGGGGGGATCTTCTTGGCCTAGAGGACTTCCATCTAGTGCTTGGGTTGAAGTGCCCCTTTGTGATCATTCGATCACAGTTTGGCCTTGCTGGGGTCACACAAGGTCTTATTTTCCTGCCTGTGAAATGGGCGTAATAAGAAACCTCACAGTTTGTCATAGAGTGCACTTGAATAAAACATTTTGAGAATATTCTAAAGGAACTGGGCCAGGAAAGCCAGGGTGGAAGGGCCTTTGGAAGATATTCTGAAGGGCCTCAGCACAGATGTGAAAGCTAATCGATCCTCTTGGGCTTCTAGGTCCCCCGGTGGCAGCTGCAGTGAGATCCCACTTTAACAACTGTCCAGATGCCCACAGTTCCTTTTGCTTCCATGGGACGTGCAGATTCCTGGTGCAAGAAGAAGAACCGACCTGCGTGTAAGTCTTTGCGTTGCCTTCTGAGATGCCTGCAGGGGAGCAGCCCAGGGCTTCCCAGTTGAAGGGAAAGAGGCCAACCAGAGGCAGCCCTGGGAGCTCAGGAAGCCTCCCTGCTGGCCGAGGCCCTGCAGGAGGGAGGGTCTCCTGAGAACCTCTGCTTACCTGCAGCTCTTGTACTCTAAAGGGGGACTTTCCCTGAACTTGGTGCTCCAGAGCAGAAACGGCCCAACAGCGCTGGGGATTTTGGAGTAATGCAGCAAGTTAATATACCCACATGCAGCTGCTAAGGCTGAGAGACCCCACCTAGGCAATATACCTTTGACATCTGGATTATTGCATCCCATACAACCGTTTGTCCAAGATGATATCAGGTCTCCTGCCATGGGTTGGGGGTTGGACTAGTTGACCTCCAAAGTCCCTTGCAGCCCTGGGATTCCGTGTTCTAAGATTTAAAAAGACCGAGCAGAGGAGATGAGCCGCACAGAAATGGAGTCTCATAAAAAGGGGTTGAGGCTGAGGGCAGATCCTGGCTCTTGAATCTGGTGTTGGGCACTGGGCAGCAGTGGGCCGGTTCCCTCCAAAATCTCTCGCACTGGGGCGGCTGGAGTCCAGACCGTCTGTCTGCCTGCCTGCTGGGTCAATCCCCCTTCAGTGGGCAGGAGCTGAGCCGGTGCTTCCCTCCCTCCCCTCCTAAGAGAGGCTTTGGCTTCTGTTTTCCTTGCCAGGTGCCACTCTGGGTACATAGGAGCCCGCTGTGAGCACGCTGACCTCCTGGCGGTGGTTTCTGCTGCCCAGAAGAAGCAAACCATAACCGCTTTGGTGGTGGTTTCCATCGTCGCCTCCATTGTGCTGGTCGTGGTCTGCGTCCTGATACAGTAAGTATAATTCTATGTGAGGCTGGTTTGAACCCACCTCTGCTGAAGCCTCTTTGCAAGAACTGCAGGCCAGGAGACTCCTCGGGCGCAGGGCAGACACCCACCTACCCCCGGTGTCGACATGGAAGGAAGGCAGCAGCTGGCAGATTACTGCCCCATTGCCTTCCTGAGCATTGCCTACATTGAATCCGGTAGATTCCCTGAATTGAGACTAAAATCTGCCTGGGGGAGCGGGGGCAGGGAGGGTACATGCAGCTAAATTCAGCTGCTTGGGGGGCAAAACAGCCGCAGACACAGTTTGGAAGCTCTGAAAAGTGAAGCAGCCCCTTTTGAGCTCAGGACCCCCCGAAATGCTCCAAGCAGCCCAACTGGCTCTCAGGGAAGCCTGGGTCACCATTGCAGAGGAGTGTTTGGAACTCACAATATGCCCTCGGACTATCATTGAGGGCTGTACCTTATGATTCTTGACAAATGAATCTTGTCTTTTTATGCGCCCTGAGAGCATCTGCACCAAAGACAAATTCCTTGTGTGTCCAACCACACTTGGCCAATAAAGAATTCTGTTCTATTTTATGCACATGATTGCGTGAAATGAACGCTTGGTTACCCTGGCTGCGGCTCAGTTCTCCTTGAAGTCACAAACTCCTAGTAGTTGGAAATCTGACTTCGTACTCAAGGGGTTCCAATTCTGCGAGTGAGTGTGGCTGGGTGAGATGCTGCAATGCTTGTTAGTGCTAAACCATGGCTGTGCTTGTCAGTAAGGTTTAGGAAGCTCCAAAGGGCACAAAACGGGGCAGTCCTCTTCTCACTTACTGCTTCTCCTAAACTGTTTAGCAAAGGATCCTTGACAGAGGGATCAAGTGCTACTATTGCTATTTAGATATTTAAATTAGAAGAGATTTTGAATTGGCAGGAAAACGTTTGAGAAGGCAATTTAATCCTGTTAAAAAGGGGTTGATGAAGGCAGAGGGAGGACTCAGCAGCCCCCCAGGTGGCTGCTCCCTTGGGCTCGCCATGCAAGGCCAAAGAGCCACCTCTCAACTCCTTTGCAGAAGGCCAGAGAGGGGGGAAGGGATATTCCATAAGGTGGAGGTCATGGCAGAGAATGTCCTCTTCCTAGACCCAGAATCCTTTGACTGATGGGGTCTGCAGCATGCCTTCCCTGCCTGACTGGGTGGGACAGGCCAATGTGATGGGGAGAACCTGGTTCCATAGGTAACCTCACCCCAGCCATGTAGGGCTTTATAGGACCCAGCCAACACCTTGAACTGGACACAGAAGCAAACTGGCACTGAGTACAGCCCACATAGCTGAGTGTTACATGCACCCTTCTTTGGGCCCCTAAAATTGCCTGCGGGGCCACATTGCATTCCTGTTGAAGCTTCTGGATACTCTTCAAGGGTAGCCCCATATAGAGCCCATTGCAATGGTCCAAATGGGATGACAAGGGCATGAGTGATGGAGCCTTCCTCACCAGGAAAGGGCATAACTGGCACACAAGGCAGAGTTGGGCAAAGGCCCTCCTGGCCACCTGCCCTGCCTTTCAGCCTAATTCTTGATAGGGGTTTTGGGGTCAGTACACCATATTTGGCTGTCAGTATTGGGTTAGCCAACAAGCTGCTGACAAGACTTGGCTTCCAGTCTTGGGTCAAAGGGCTTCCATGCCATTGACAGACTGAGGGACTGTGGCCCATTTCTGGTGTGAATCCAAGCTGCTATGGGGTCCTGTGGACAAGTCTTGGTTCAGACAGGCTGAAGCCACGTGCCCCAGACCACACCCCCTCCCGAGGCTGCCTCCCAACAAGTCCCCCATTGTTTCTGCTCCGGAAAGTGATTCTCTGCTCCTTTCTTTCCCTCCTCGCCTGCCAGCCATTCCCATTCTTGGCCCAAACTTTGTTCAATTAACCCACCATTGTGTGTGTTTGTGCAGTTGCTGCAGGATACGGAAGCACTGCGAGTGGTGCAGAGCAATGGTTTGCCGGCATGAGAAACCCACCGGGCTGCTGAAGGGGGCCACGTCTTGCTGCCACTCAGAGACAGGTAAATGAACATTATCTGTGCCAATCCAGCATTTGCAATTTCAGGCAATAAAACCCTGGTTTTTTTTCTTTGGCCTGAGCCAAGGAAGGAGGTGGGCACTTGAGCCTTCTGGCTTTGCAAGCAGAAGGGAAGATGCATGGAAAGGAGAGCCCTGAGGATCCAGGCCAGGGTCCCAGGTGAGAGCGCAAAGTTTGCTGGGCCTGTTTGTGGGGTTTTTTGGGGGGGGGCTCTCTCCAGCCTCTCTGCAAAGGGGACTCCTGCCTTCAATTGAATGATGGGAAGTCCTCGAGGACTCCTGAACATTTGGCTGAGCTTAAAGGCTAAGCAGGGCCAAGTCTACCCACTCACGGCTGAGAGACTGCAAGGCCAGATGGGAAGTCAGGAAGATCCTCCCAGGGAAGCCTCCTCCCATAACTCTGCTGGGAAAGTATTCCCAGGAGTCAGGCTTGGCTCAAGAGGAAGCCGATCCAGAGGGATGAATGAGAGACCAAGACAGAAGCCTGGATTGTAACAGTATGAAAAATACCAGTCCCCAATCCATGTCCTCAAAACACACTGTATTAGCCCTTCCCAGGGAGGAGAGGAATGAAATGGCCCCATCTCCTCCTCCTCCTGCTCCACCCGACATCCTTCAGGGTTAAATCCCTTTGGAAGGTCAGTGGTCTCGGCTGAAGACCTGCTTGCCCCAGTCTCTGTCTAGTCTCCTGCTTGAGCAAGGGGGCCGAATGAGAAGACTCCAAAGTCCTTTTCCCAACTCTGTCATCCCGTGAAAGAATCCCTTTTGAGTCCGGATGGTCAGTATTGTGTTGCTGCGCCAGAACAAAGTGGTTTCTGTTGCTCTGGACTGACCTCTTTGCTTGTTTTGCAGTTGTCTGACAAAAACCATGGAAGGGAACAGCACAGAGTTCGACCTGAGAGGCCTACAGTCTTCTGAAAAAAAGTTTCATGTGGACAAGAGAGTTTCCAGGGACTTAACCAGGAAGCCAACGCAGTGCAACTTTTGAGGCCGCCTCCGGATCGTCCCCCGTAACGCTGGGCATCCAGAACTTTGCTGAAAGAGCTGCGTGGCCGGTGCCGCTTCTGACTAAACCTGTCTGTGGTCTGTGACCACCAGCAAATCTCCAAGACTTCTTTTTAGTCGAAATAGAGAAGAGGGACAATCGGCAGCTTTACATTTACTGTAAGCACCAGCTTGTTCTGGTTTGCCTTGGAAAAGGTTTATTTCATGGAGACTGGATCCAGCGTTATCTGATGGGCTGCCTTGGCTTTGCCTACCTGTTGCATCTTTGGACTCCTCTCCAGTGGAAGGATGCTCCCCGTTAGGCCTCTGGGAGTAGTCCCACTCTCCAGTGGGCACTCAGCCCCAAGTAGAAAAATGCCAGGTAGCCTTGCCCGTGTTTGTAGTGTCCTATTTGGGGAAGGGAGAGGGGGAAACATTGTGGGGGAGGGTAGACTGGAGCCAGGTGAGAGCAGAAGTTCCTTCCCCTTCCTTCCTTCCTTCCTTCCTTCCTTCCTTCCTTCCTTCCTTCCTTCCTTCCTTCCTTCCTTCCTTCCT